AATATTTTATTGCAATTAATTTACATTTTGCTGCGCAATTGAGAATTTGTAGTTTTTGTAGGCTTTGTAACATTGCATGAATTGGTTTTATCTTTGTCTTTTGTTTGAGCTTTAATAACGTTGATTGTATGCTGAAGCAAAGTAAAAAGAAACTAAATAATTATTTTTTCATGTTGCTGAACAAAACGAAAGTGATTTGAACTAAAAAAATACTAAATACAAAAAAAAAAAAAAAAAATAAAAAAATTATATTTTTTTGCGTTAAAAATAAAAATATATGAAAAAATAACATTTTTTTGCGTTCAAAATAAAAATGAAAAAAGTAATATTTTTTGCATTAAAAATAAAACAGCATAATACTAGCAAAAAATGTTTTTAAAGACTCGCATTTTAAAATTTTCTTTTCTTCTTTTATCCTTTTGCTGCAAAAGTGCCACATGCAATTATATGCAAAAATATGCGACAGCTATTTACTTACCTTATGTATATGTAAATATATCTATATAGACTATTTAGAACTGGTTGTTATATACTAAATATAAAAAAGCTGAACATGGACAAAAGAAGCAACTGGAAAAAATTACAAATACCAAGTTAAATATGTATGTAATCAGTCGCTGCAATTTAAACTCTAGGGATACAAAAACGTACATACATATATATACATACATACATAAATAAACAGAAATAAACAAAATATATGCAAGCGAAACCCTAAATTTAAACTGAACTTATTTTTTTGTTGTAGTTGAAAGTCAAATTTAGAAATGCAAGTAAGACATAAGCGTGATTTGTGACGGATCTGCACTTATATAGTACATTTATATAGCATATATATATGTATATATGTAGCGCGAAATGTAGCATTTAACGAAGAAAAAAATATTAGAAATATACATATATTTGCAATAAAATATGCGTGCCAACACGAAACATTTTGCAAAAGTTTTCCAAATACAAAAAAAGAAAAGATATAAAATAAAAAAATATATATGTATAATTAGGGAGAAAAATGTATGCTGAGCAATAATTGTAACAAATGATAAGAAGAAATGAATGTAGTTGCATGTCAGAAGTCAGGACTATCTATATTAATAAGAAACAATAAGTATAAGCCGTATGGGGAGGAAACAGCAACACCAATTTATCGATAACTACAAAAGCAGGCAGTGTGAGAGTGCACAACACGAAACAAACATGACTTGTGGCAACCACTTAACTTTTTCTAACTTTATTACAAACTTAAACCTTAATCTTTGCTGCAGTACCACATTTTCGGCAAAAGCTAATACAAATACAAAAAAAAAAACTAATTTTAATATTTTTTTTAAATACAATTTATCGATTAATTAAAAAAAAGTTGTAATCAAATTACATGCAGCAAGTATATAATGTATACCAGCACATACATAAATACATACATAAATAAGTAGCAAACAAAAAAACAAATACAAATACAAAAACTGCTGAATATATGCATAAAAAAGTATAAATATAATTATCGATAAATATGTTAAATATCGTAATGCTAATGCAACTTTAAGCTAGTTAATTAGTTTATATTTTTTGTAAACTGCAAAATAAATGTAACAACAAAGTGTGAGACCACAAATACCGCAAGCCACGGAAAAGCAACTTTTTACAACTACAACAACAACAACAACAAAAGCAGCGAGAAGCGCACTTTTCTCGAACTTAGATGCAGGAGTATTCTTTACAACTATTTTGGCTATGCTTAGCAATGCTACAACAACAAGAAAAAATGAAAATTAAGTTTTATATAATAAAGCTGGCTGCTGGTAGTGCGCTTGCGGTGCGGCACGCTTTTGTTTGTTCTAAAAATTAGGTTCCTAAATGTAAGCACTGCAAACATATAAATATAGAGTTTTAGAAAACTTAAAAAAATACGATATAGAAATATTTAAAATAAGTAGCTGAAATATAAAAGCATAAATTATGTTAAATGCGCTACACATACACACAAATACACATGCGCATGCGATACAAAAATGAATCAAACGTGTTAATAGAGAAAAAAATTGTTTAAATAATTTTCGTAAAAAATTAAAAACCATTAATTTAAATAACAATTTTTGAAAAGTACTTATAAACATATTAAGTAAGGTTAATTAAAATTATTAATTTTTTTTTAAACTTGAATATTAAAAAAATGTCTCAACATTGTTTTTTTGAAAATAAGTTATTGAAAACTTACATTTTTTTTAAATTAGAATAAAATATATGTATATGTTTAGAAAATTTTTAGAAATACTATTAAATCTGGTAAAAGTAAAATAGTGTTAAAAATCAAGAAGTTTTACTAGAAACATTAAAAATAAATAATTGGGAAATGTATTTTTGAAAAATTATTAAATATTGATTATGGAATAATTTAAAATTTACGTATGTACAAATGTAAACGATAAAAGTAAAAAAATGAAGTTTTTGAATATTACAAAAAAATTTTTTAAACAATTAAAAACAAATAATAGTTTTCGAAAATGTGTTAAAAAAATTAAAATGAACATTAAAAAAATTTAAAAAAAGAAAAAAATGTTTTCTGGAAAAATTTTAAAAATATTTTTTAAGTGTTTGATAACAGTTAAAAAAAGTATTAAAACAAATCGCAAAATTTTTTTGAAACATTAAAAATAAATAATTGCAAAATGTAATTTTGAAAATCTGTAAAATTTTTTTCGGAAAATTTTAAAGTATACGTACGTATATGTATTCGAAAAAAGTGAACAAAAAAATATTTTTGAATTTATTTTTGGAAAATGCGTTTTCGAAAAAAAATTACATTGAAAATTACGAAAAAATAAAATTGTGATATTTAAAGGGGAGGAGAAAATTGGAGGGAAGTATTTTCGAAACAGTAGAAAACAAATTTTGGAAAATGTAAAAACATTTGGCAGAAACTTTGATTACTTAAATTTTAATATTGAAATTTTAGTAATTTTATAAAATAAAACAAACATTTAAAAAATTTAAAAAGCAAAAATGTGAAAAT